TGGGGATCATTTCATCGAGATCCATACATTTCATATATTAAGTTTATATATATAGTTATTAGAATAAAAATTAACAACAAATACAAATTAAATTTAGTTTTGTTATAATAAATGCAAATGCCGAAATATAAAAATCCACGTCATCACCAAGTTGTTAATTTTTATCCCAATTCAGGATTTGGTTAAAGTCGGTTCTTTGAAAATCACAGAACTGTCAATCGAGATGAAAAATTGGTCTTGGATTATCTTTCACCTGAAATAAAAATAGTAACTAAAACAATTGTTTAGTTGTTGAAGATTTTGTATGATGATGATGATGAATGTGAATGTGAATGTGTGAACACTTACTATGAATAAAAGCTGCAATGAAAATTAGAACTCCATCCTTTTGTAAATCACTTTTTGAACAAAATTTGTGAAAAATTTATTATTATACTTATTACCAGTATCTCACTGTTACTGGTAATAAATATATTAATCATCTTGATCTTGAAAAAGTTTTATGGGCTCATTCAAAACGCATTTTAGAACAATTTAAAGATAAATAGTTCTTGAAACAAAAAAAATGTAACTTGGCTCTTGTATAAAAAAAAAACTGTTCTCCATCGTCTTCATAAGTAAATTTGTAGAAGGTTTTGTGAAAAAACAATTGAACAAATTTCAATAAAATAAGTGTAATTAATAATAACATTCATTTAATATTTTGTTTTTAAATAAATAAAATATTTGCAATAATAAGAACAATTAATCAAATAAAATATATTTGCTCTTTGCAAATAAAATTGTTATGTATTTTTGTTTAAAAATTAAACTGTGACAAAACAGAAAATAATAAATAAAAATTAGATTAGACAGAAAGATTTTTAAATCAAAATATTATAGAAAAAGGACTCGACTGGTGAGCATATTATAATTGTGAAAAATATTCATAAAAAGGGACTTTACTAACTAAAAGTTTAAGTTGCTCTATTTCGCTTAAAAAAAGGAATACTGGTGAGCAAATAATACAAGAGAAAGCTTCGAGAAACATATTTGTAAAACAATTGAGAAGAAAGGGACTCTACTGACGAGCAAATTAAAAACTTACTCTAAAGTATCATTCAAATAAAATACTAATAAGTAGGGAATGCAATACCGGTATACCGGTATGCCGAATTACCGGTAAACCGCCCGATTTTTCGGCGGTATTTTTACCGGTATTTATTCCAAAAATACCGGTATTTTCGGTATCTTTACATAAGCGCTATTTGATACATAATACCCTAATGTTTAAATTTCTTGGAACAAATTTATCTTTAAATTCCATAATCGCATTAACAGCTATATCTTGAAGTGATTCTATAGGATAAACAAATGTCAGATATTATCTCAACTCGTCATTAAACTGAATATTTATTGCTTTCCAAAGGGCTTCATATCGTGTTACAATAAATAGAATAGGACTGATAGATAATTCTGTTTGTTTCATCTTTTGTAAAAATGTAACGGTTTTTTAAGTGATATTTGCGCCAAAATATTTTATATCATACTGCGTAATCTTTATTTTGTTCTATCTTTATACATAATAATTATGATAATTACTAAATATTTTTGCTTCTTATTACAATTATAAAATATTATTTTTCGACGACGTTTCGAAGTTTGAAACTGCTATAGAATAGAAGCGTCACATTGTTTTAAATAACAATACTCAATAATTATAGTAACTTATTATTTATCTCGGCAGCGTATCCGATCTTAAATTAGTGTAGAAAAATTATTTTTTTAAATATTGAAGATTATGCTATTAACACATCGAACACAGCCAATACAGTTTATAATAATGTAATATGATCTTTTATGAGTTTTTGGTCTTTCTTACTCATAAGTTTGTTTTTGGTGAAAAGTACTCAATATACTCGATAGTGATAATGAATTAATTAAATTGGATATACTTTTGTTAAATTATTATTTAAAAAAATAAGCTTATTGTTTTATTTTATTGTTTAGTTGAATATATTTGTAGTTGTATATACATGTTTTTATATTTGTACTAGTAACTTTCAATTTTGTTTAAGATAATAAAAATACCGGTAATTTACCGGTATTCCGGTTTTAAAATGGAAAATTACCGAAATACCGGTATTGCATTCCCTATTAGGCACGTAACATATGACATGTGACATTTGATCAATCGGAAGAGTCCGCGATTGTCGTCGGCGACGTTCGCTCAGACACGTGACGTCACAGTCCCTTCTTTATTTGAGCACCATATACAACGGGAAACATCAGGACTAGCAGTCCATGTAGTGTAATGTTTATAGAAGGATCAAATAAATACATTTGAATAAAAATGAATGAAAAATAATCAAAAATCAATAATACTTAAAATCGAGTCTCTTTGTCAACTTGTATATTCTAATATGAAGTTCGTTAATAGTTAGTAATAAATTATATTGTAATGGTCATTAATGTAAGATGTTAGATGACTGTGAAATGTATATGAGTGTTGTTATATTAATGTTGAAATGTATGTATGATCAGTATCGGATTATTAAAGTAAAAGTTGTTGATGATGATGATGATGTAATTTCATCAATAACCCCACTTAAACAACTGTTGATATTTAAAATTATTATAGATGAATAAAATTTAATTGCCTTTTTTCTACGATAATTAAAAAATGATCTAAAATTCATGCCTCTACATTAGAATACATCCTTCAACTGTATGGAATGTTTTATTAAACACACCTATTAATGTGATTGGTAAAGTTATAATATAAGTTTTATATATACATATATATATATAGATATATTAGGGTGGTCTTTAGTATGGACATTTTCGATATTTCTTTGCTCCCAAGGGCTCCAAATTGATAAAAAACAATTCTCTGAAAGTTTTAGCTCTTAATATTAACGTTTAGATAGTGCGCAATTCAATTAAACTTCGTATGGAAATAGTATGAACAATTTTTTGAAAATTAAAAAAAATTCTTTTATGTATAACTTAGTGACAAACAAATGAATTAAAAGTGAAAATTTGTGTCATTTTTTATTGCAAATTCTACGCTCTGCAAAATTTCTGAAATTTTTTTTATGCCATTTGCATACAAAAATTTGATTGAATTGCACTCTATCTAATAAACAATATTAAGAGCTAAAACTTCCAGAAAGTTGTTTTTTATCAATTTGGAACCATTTGAGCCCTTGGAAGCAAGAAAATTCGAAAATGTCCATATTAAGGACCACCCTAATATATATATATATATATATATATGTATGTGTGTGTGTGTGTGTGTGTGTATGCCAGTGTTTTCTATTTGTTTCTAAATAAACGATTATTTCTAATCATTAAGACCAATTTGAACAAAATTGATCAAAATACGAAAAGATAATTTTAAAATCACTAAAAATAAATATAAAATTTTAAAGTATTAATTTGAATAAAGTGTATATGCTATTTGCAAATAAGTTTGTAATGTATATTCAATAATTGAACAAACTTCATAAAAAAGGAAGTAATAATTAAAAGTTATAATAAATAGGAAATATGAATAAATAATTTAACAACAATAAATGTAGCTCCCTTTGCCATAAATAAGTAATTATATATACATAATATATATTAAAAAGAAATTAAATAGCAAAAGAACTCTACTGACAAGCAAATTAATATCATTAAAAGCGACTTTACTGACGAGCAAAACATACTTGAGCTTTAAAAAAAATGTAAACTGTATAAATAATATTAAGAAAGAGACTCTACGAATGAGCAAACTAGAATTTAAAAAATATTTATAAAATAAAATTCTGATAGAAAAGGACTCTACTGATGACCGAATTAAAACTGTTAAAAACATTAATAAAAAATCTAATAGAAAAATGACTACTAATGCACAAATTAATATTGTAATAAAATATTAATGAAGAAAATGATGAATAAATACTGAGACAGAAGGAACTCTACTGACGCGCAAATCAATGTTTAAATAAAAAATTAAATACTGTCATAAAAATACATTAACCCGTTCGACTCGACGGCAATACATATAAATTCCGGAATGGCGAGTGGAAAGGGTTAAAATAATTGTAAGTAATATTTACTAAATAAAATAAATTTTATCTTCCCAGATAAATGTGCTTTTGGATAAAACCAATTAAATAAGTTTGCATAAAACACAAAAAAAAATTGATGTTTACTTAAAAATAAGTGTACCCTCTTCATGAAATTTTCAAATGGAGTTTCTTCCATTTGTTTCCAATAAATGAATGAATATATTTCAATGTGTATTATATATGAAATGAATGATCATTAAAATAAAAAAATCAATTAAAAACAGAAATGTACAAGTTGTTTTTGTTTGTTGTTAAGAGTTAAAATAATTTATTTGAAATAAAACATTTACTTTTTGCAAGTAATTTTATAATACTCATATGCATAAAACTTAATAAATAAGAATGAATGATAAAAATGAAACCTCCACCAAATGTGAGAAAAAATTACATACCTGTTCTTTTTCCATTCGTTTGTGAGTCTTATAAGGTGCGATAGTTCCTCTCCGTCCTTGCTCTGTAGAATTTGTATGCTACGAGACCTAAAATGAAAAAAAACACAATTGTAAAATATTGATGAAATTATGAATTTATTCTTTGTACGTTTTAATAAGTATTGATTTTAATAAAATCAATGAAATTCTATTGTCATTATAATATATAAATATATGAATAAACATAAATGTATGTATGAAGTATTTTTATATTTCTGTGCAATTTGGCAATAATAATGTAGACATTGCATTTTTCTCAATCATAATCATGAATTTATTATACATATTCTAATATTGTCTAGGCTCATAAGTAAATTGAAAATTTTGCCAGATGACAGTTTTCATTTGTTTTCAATGCCAAACAATGTCTCATATATTTTCAATGTCAAACAATGTCATGTCGTTTTTTGCTATTTTTTCCATTTATTTCTACAATATTACTATACTTTTATAATCACATACATCCTAAAAAATTTCCTTAACAAACTCTAGAAAGATTTATCAAAATCCGAATAATCGTTTAGGAGGAGTATGCATTCATACATCCATATTGAAGAATTTTATATATAAACAAATATAATTTATATGTAGGTAAAAAATATTCAAATATATTATCTTATCCCCTTACCGATGCACATAAGTCCAATAGCCAAAATCATGCCCCCAATAAATGAAGCCCCATCGAACCTCCTCGGTTTCTCTGGTGCCACAGTGGTCGACACAATGGGTTCCATGGTTGTCGGTTCAGGTTTAACAGTTGTAGGCTCAGGCGTTGGAGGGGTAGTTGGTGGGGTTGTTGGGGGCTTTGTAGTTGGTGGTGGGGTTGTTGGAGGTGTTGTTGGTGGGGTTGTTGGGGGCTCTGTAGTTGGAGGAGTTGTTGGTGGCACAGTTGTTGGTTGTGAGGTTGTTTCAGGTGGAGACACTGTTGTAGTATCATTTGGGGCAGGTTCTATAAAAAAAATATTTTATATATTACAACAAATGGAAAGGAAATGAAGTAAAAATGTTTTCTAGGCTACTGTAAAGCTATACCTTATAGATCATCCTATTTATTTGATTAATGCATTTTTAAAGTAGGCTTATTATATTATTAAACTAGCAAACCCGACGAACTTCGTTTCGCCACCAGATGGTTTCGTGAGAAAGATGAAAAAAAATTTTGTTTGTTTTATATTTGAAAAGGAAAAATTTGATTTTATTACACAACAGTAATGAATTTATTTCGATTACAAAAATGAAGTGTTTTTCAATTGAACTTCTCTAAGTAAATGAAAGTGAATCCGCAAATTATCCGTTTCATTGAATTGCTCTTTGGTAAACCACATTTTTTGTTTTTTGGTCTGACGTTAACACAAACAAAGCGGATGGTTTTTCAACTCGTGAACAGGCAATGTATAACTGCCCATGTAAAAAACAATTATTTCCAAATAAACTATTTGAAATTTATCCCGCAAACACTAAGCGATTGGCCTTGCGATTTGTTATTGCAAACTGGAAATTGCAATCGTTTGAAGTCAAACGGAAGACCAGTCGGAATCATTGGTATGTCACCAAATCGCCAGAAATTTTTGATTGAATGGTGAAATCAGTGCGTGTACATCATTAATCTTTGCGGCAAGAATTGCTCGTTGACTTAACCAAGCATAATTCTGATAATTCTTACTAATGTCATTACTCGAATTTTTAATTACAGTGCGTGAAGTTCCAGCAATTTGCATTAGGGCACGAGCTATAAACCTTGCGGAGCCCGAGACCTTTCCAACGAATGCAAAATTGTCGAAATCGGTTCGTGCGCTCTGGAGTTAAATCGTCAGGAAGGAAAACCCGACTTATTTTTATATATATAGAAGATACGATGAAACTATTAAGATACAAATAAAAATAGTTTACTCATGAAAATCATTCAATTATTGATATGTATATTTAGGTTGGTGCTTAATATGGATGTTTTCGAATTTTTTTGCTCCCAGGGACTTGAAACCAAAGTTTCTTATAAAACTGACATGAAAAAAATTCCATTTGTTGTTTAGAACTTTATAAATTGCCGAGAAGTGAATCAAAATTTAGAGAATAACATTGTATTTGCTTATTTTGATCATAAATAAAAATTACAACAAAATTGATATATTTTATAAAAATAAGTATTTACTTCGGAAGAAGAACCAAGAAACTTTGGTGGTTGGAGTGCGGACTATCTTAAAGTTAATATTAAGACTTAAAACTTTCAGAGATTTTTTTTTATCAAATTTGGAAGCATTTAAGCCCATGTGAACAAGGAAATTCGAAAACATCCATATTAACGACCACCCTAAGATATATATTATATACATTATTAACAAATAATTAAATTTAAATGAAGTCTATCTGTCTATATCATATAATATAATCCATATATACGCTAATGGATTTACCAATTTATGTATGTATCTATTATTAATTATCTATATAACTTCTAATCTATGTTTCTATCTATATAAATGTGTCTACACTAACCTGGTTGAACTGAAACACTCGGAGTACCTTCATTATATTCCAAAGAGGCTGCATTTTTGATAAACATAGGTTCATAAGTCGATGTTTCTACTTCTTCAGTTTGGACTTCAGTGATAGTTTTAGTGGGTTCATTTGTTGCAATCGGTTGGGTTACTGGTGCTATCGTTGCATCTAAAAATTAGATTAATTGAAAAAAAAACAGTCAAATACATCAATATAAATAAAACGCATTTTAGGAGCATGACAAGATAATGAATATGGTACAAAATAATCTATACACAAATAGACCTATAATTACAACCTGTACAATTTGGTTCTAAACTAAATCTTTATATTGTGCAATATTTGTACTTTTTTTTTTTAATTATATTTAAGGTTCTACACTAAAACTTTATATTATCTATTATGCAGTATTTCGATACATTAGACAAAAACTGATAAGAATTCATGGTATAAACTTGTTGAAGATTTTTGTAAAACTCTCCAGCTCATAAATTCCATCGACTAATGATAAAACCAGAAACTACCTTTGAGTGTCAGAATAAAAAAAATTTTTTTTTACAAAGTATTTGTAATAATAACAGCAGAACTCGGTTAAGACAATTATGCTTAATATAATCGAATAATTTAATACGCATTAAATAATTGAGAATGCTTAATATAATCAAAAGTCTCAATTTTTTTAGTGAACTTGTTTTGTATTGATAAATATGTTACAGTTGAGATTTCTTTAACATTTCTATATCAAGTTCTATTGAATTCGAAATTATAAAGTGAAATTTTAACTTGTAAACAAAATCCATTTAAATTAAAGGTACACATATTTTTTAATAAAAATATATTGCAAATGCTGTATGTAATAATGTATTTGTATATAATTGTATGCGTCTAATTCTTTATTTGAAAGGATTCATATAAATTTATATGTACATATATGTCTGATAATTAAATTAATATATTAAATATAAATATAATTTAAGTCATGTTCAACTTAATTTGCTCATACGTGATCATTTTGCAAACCAGCATTTTCAAACTTTAAATGAATATTCTATAGCCTCCCCCTTAGAAAGATTTAGGCTAGATTAAAAGAATGAGTTGTTTATATAAATAAATATTAATTGTTGTTTATATTAATAAATAAATTTATATTACAATGTTAATATAAATATAATTAAAGTCACGTTCAACTTAATTTACTTATGTGGACATTTTGCACACCAGCATTTTTAACACCTTAAATAAATATTCTAGAGCCTCCCCCCTTGGAAAGATTTAGGCTAGATTAAAAAAATAAGTTGTTTGTATGTATTTTAATATAAATATAATTTAAGTCACGTTCAACTTAATTTGTTCATACGTGATCATTTTGCAAACCAGCATTCTCATTACTTTAAATGAATATTCTAGAGCCTCCCCCCTTGGAAAAATTTAGAATAGATTAAAAGAATGAGTCGATTATACGTATTTTAATATAAATATAATTTAGGTCACGTTTAACTTAATTTACTCGTGTGAACATTTTGCACACCAGCATTTTCAATACTTTAAATTAATATTCTAGAGCCTCCCCCCTTGGAAAAATTTAGAATAGATTAAAAGAATGAGTCGATTATACGTATTTTAATATAAATATAATTTAGGTCACGTTTAACTTAATTTACTCGTGTGAACATTTTGCACACCAGCATTTTCAATACTTTAAATTAATATTCTAGAGCCTCCCCCTTAGAAAGATTTAGACTAAATTAAAAGAATGAGTTGTTTGTAATTATTTGTATGTATGCAATTGTGTATATTTAGTATGTAATTATTTTTGTTATATATGGCTTGTGAAATTAATATATTAAATATAAATATAATTTAGGTCCCGTTTAACTTAATTTATTCATATATGAACATTTTGCTTAGAAAATCATTTCTAAAATTTTGAGTGGATATTCTAAAGCCTCCCCCCTCATAAGGATTTGGGCTAGTTTAAAAGAATGAGTTGTTTGTATATATATTTGTTATCCGTATGTACATGTATGTATGTATTTGTGTGTATGTATTTGTGTGTATGTATTTGTGTGTATTTGTAATTATTTGCATGTATGCAATTGTGGATATTTAGTAAGGAATAATTTGTGTTATATATGCCTAAAATAAATATATTAAATATAAATATAATTTAATTTACTCATAAGTGAACATTTTTCAAACCAGCGTTATTAATATTTTGAATGAATATTCTAGAGCCTCCCCCCTCAGTAGGATTTAGAATTGGTTGATAGAATGAGTTGTTTGTATATATTTGTTTATAATTATTCGTATGTATTGATGTATGGGTGTATATGTATATGTATTCGAATGTGTATGTATTATTGTAAAATTGATATTCATATTAAATATTAATATAATAGAATGCAATCAAACTTCACACAAGACTCTGTTCAATATCATTATTAAAATGGTTTTAACTAGAAATTATTTTGTAAAAATAAATTAAAATTAAAAAAATTCAACCAAATTTTTTGTTTTATGATAAAGAATATTCTGTTAGTAATACAATTCTAGTTGTAAACTCCACGTGTCCAAAACTGAATGAAAAATCAATTATTTGCCTCTCGGTCACCATATGGTGGATTTTGGCGGAATAGAAGAAATATCTCATGGTCTTTTTATTAAATTTAATTTTCCTACATGTATCTATATTTATGATAATCGTAATAATACGGTCGTTGTTTTTGAAATGTCAAAATAATTTCGATGACGTCGTCCTACTCAGTTTGTTTTAGTCGTTCGCATAGCAACAGCGGAAAAAAACAATCACACGTCACTAATCAAAAAGTCAATAATCGGATTAAATAATTAAAAATTAAATAACACCGTTGGAGATAATCGAGAAAAATAGATACAAAAATTGAATAAACACACAATGAAAATATAACAAAAGGTTTTACAGACAAAGTTGTTTCAGAATTGTTTTTTAACACGTTAATCGCCACAGTAGTATCAGAAAAGAGAAATAGGGAAATCCCTATGAGTCATGGTGATTTTATTTAAGATAATTTAGTTGAAAATGTATCAAAGAAAAAAAAAATTTTCATAAATATTTGGAAAAACACTATTTTTGATGTAGCACATATATAACTAACATGGTCCTAAAAAAATTAGAGGACAATGTTATCAAATTGAGGTATTACGTCCTCTTAATTTTTTTTTAATTTTGTCTTTATTAAAAATTTATTAGTTATGATCTTTTGCTCAATTTTAGCATTTATATTAAAATTTATGTTTGTGTTTTTTCTGGTTTGGTATGTATATAATTTTCTCCCTTTTATACTTTTATATTTAATATCAAATGCTGTTCCATATGTAATGTTTTTTTTAGATTACTGAATGATGACACACATTAAGTGTCGAAACGTTTTATAAAAGATTTAATAAAATATATAAGAATTTTTTCTACATTAACCTGCAAAACAATACTTTAAATATGTATCAACGTCGACAAAACTATCATATATATATATATATATATATATATTCAATGTCATCTTTATTTTTGTTATATTGTTTTCATACAAATGTTCACATAACAATTGTTTATTATTTCTTGTTCTTGTGTTTATTTAAATTATTTGTGAGTAATCGCACTGAAGGTAAACCAAACCAAAACTCAAAGCGTTAGCAAGCTTATTAAAAAAAAAACTCTCTAACTTTGTCTTCCTTGTTGAAGAAAGAAAATAATATTTTACTACTTAGCTTTTATCATACAAAATAATGTGTGTATGTGTGTGTATGTATATCACATACATTCATATATACATATAAAAATATTCAATAGATAAGTCCTGGATTTTTTCAATATATTGATTGTTTCTTTTCCGAACAGTAAATCCAATAATAAAAAACAATTTGTTTTTTGAAGATGTTTAATACGACGTTTCGGAACTAGGTACGTTCCATCATCAGGTTTATTCTGTCAAATACAATGTTTTTTAAAATACTGATTAACATTAATTAACAATGGTCAATACAGATTAATTAGAAAAAAAATTTTGTTATAAAGGAATGGATTATGTACCGGATAGATAGTAATAAGACTTAACTAAAAAAGGTTTTATATAAAATTGAGAAGCAAAAATTATTTACCTGTAATAATTTATATATCCATATCACTAATATTTTTTTGTTAAAAACACTCGATTTTTTTGGAAGATATTTGTAGATGTTACGACTACACAAGACTTAAACACACTGATATGGATTTCTGTCTGCCAGATGTAAATGACAAAGCACGGAACTCTTGGCAAAAATGATTTTTTATGGCTCTTGTTTGGTAATTTACGAAAAAAGGAAAAATATTATTATTGGATTTACTGTTCGGAAAAGAAACAATCAATATAAAAATATATATGTATTGCTACATAACATGTTTCTAAATTAGAAATTTAGAAAAAAAACAAAAACTTAAATTGCAAGTACAGTAGTGAATCAAAAAATTTCTTCAAATTTATCCAAATGTTTCAAAAAACTTATTAAAAGAATTACACCGATGAGTATTATATTGCACAAATCATTTGCAGTTATCGATAATTTGAACTATTCTTCATGTTATTTTTATATAAATTTATGTTAAAATAAAACAAAAAATACTCATCATTGCCATCAAAATCCTTCATCAAAAAAAATTGTAAAAAATTCAAAACCTTGAGACCATTGTAAATACCAATTTAATATATATGGTAAATAATAATTGGCAAAGGATCGATATAATATATAGTAAATAAATAATGAGAAACAATATTATTTACAAACAACAGGAACATATTGAAGAAAGCATTGGAGGTAAAAGTTTGCTTAAATTTGTTTTAATTCATGTTTGATCTCGAAGCTCTGATTGAAATAGCATTCGACAAAATCTTCAGAACAAAGGAACATCGATTTATATGTAACTTATATCAAGGCTTTGTAAAGTTCACCAAATTTATTTGTCTCTACAATCTATATGTAACTTCAATCAATGCTTAAGAAAGTCCATCAAACGGTGCTTCAAACATATCTATCTCGATATCTATACAACATTTAGGAAACCTGCAATTAAATTTATTATCATCAACTGAAACGAGCCAAAACATGTAAGCATTGGAAGCAACTTTGCAAGAAGTATTCACATGTTTATACAGATATTGCAATTTACAGTTTAAAAAGCAAACTGGTGGTAAAACCAATGCTCAATAATTATATGCAACAAAATCAAACCAAACGAGTCTATGTAAAAAAACTAATTGTATGCAGAGCTGAACCAAAGAAAAGGGCAATGGTCATCTGAATAAACACACAAAATCAAATTTAAAAAATAATCATACGAAACAAATATCTAATATCTAATAGTCTGGACAAAATTATAAAGAAAATGTTTGAGAATGACTCGCATATGTTAGGAGAATAGTTTTTTGCTTCTTGAACCATTAACTCTTTTCATGAACTTTACTTGATGAGCGAATTTTAAAAAAGAGTTGATAATATATATCATCAGAAAGACCTTTCAAAGGATATATGGATGCAGTCAACAAATTTCAGGAAAAAATCATCACTGAATATCGATATCCAATAATTTCCAAACAATGTCAAGAGCAATTTCTTGAAATTTTGAAAAGATTATCAAATCAGTCATAATTGACAAAAGTGTTATGATAATTGTATGACATAATAAGTGATGACAGTCAGATGCTACAATAAAAAGACCTGCACGGGTAAGTATTAGAAGTAATTTTTAATCAGCAATCTTCAGATTTCACATCTACAACAGTGATGTCTCCAATATTGTCAGCTATGTTAAAAACACTTGATTATAATTCATTGTAACTTCACACTTTAATTCACAAACTATCATAAGATTTAGAATCATTGTAAGCAGTTGTTCCATAAAAAATCATTCAAAACTAGCATGACTTTTGATTCTTCAAAAGTGGACATTGTAAAACAAAGATCAAACAATGAGTAAATATGAAGATAATGTTTGAGAATGACTTGCATGTGTTAGGAGAAAAAGATTTTTACTTGATGACCAAATTTCAAAGAAGAGTTGATAATATATCATCAATTAGATCTTTCAAAGGATGGATGGATGCAGTCAACTATTAGTAAATATGAAGAAAATGTTTGAGAATGACTCGCACGTTTTAGGAGAAAAGTTTTTTTAATTGATAACCAAATTTCAAATAAGAGTTGATAATATATCATCGAAAAGACCTTTCAAAGGATGGAAGCATGCGGTTAACAAATTTCAGGAGTAAATCATTACTAGATATCTCCAATAACAATCATAACTAGATATCTCCAATAATCTCCAATAATTTCCAAACAATGTCAAGAATAAAGAATATCCTATCAGTGATAATTGGCAAAAGCTTTGTAAAAACTATATGACATAAGTGATGCCAGTCAGATAGTATCTATCGTAACTATAATAAACAGACATGTACACTAAAAAAAACTGCAGTATAATTTATGGTCATCGGAAACAAACCAGAACATGTTTGAGTATGTATTAGAAGTAATATATAATCTTCAAGTTTCAGATTTCTCATTTAGCACATTGATGTCTCAAATATTGTAAGCTATGTTAAAAACACTTGATTATAAATCACTGGACAAACTACCGCAAAATTTAGAGTCATAAGCAGATGTTATGAATCTTGAATCAAATCGTTCATAACTAGCATGACTTTTGATTCTTCAAAAACGCACATTGTAAAACAAACATCAAACAATGAGTAATCCAGGACTTTAGTCACCTCTGATATGATACATGTACATATATTTACAAGAAAACATACGTCAACACATGTAATGCATAATCAAAAAACCTATTATGCAAATTTATATATTCAACAAATTACTATCTAATTGCACAAAAATAGGAGCCGACACTAAGGGGAAACCCGACCTAACCTATTTGCACTTGAAGCCATAAAATCGTACAAGACCAAACAAAAATAAATCATAAATCAATTATTATTGCGACATTTATTATTACAAATGCCGATAACATATTTAAAACAAGCATGCTTATCTATTACAACTCACCTTGTGGAGCACTAGCCGTCAAACTTGTGCACAGAATTAACAGAAGGCAATTACTTATTACGATCCTCTGCTTCATTGTAATTGCTTGTTGATTAATTGATTATTACTAAACTAATTAATAATTAGGCGTCAGCGGTGATTTGTTTTAATTCGATTTGATTACTTTAATAAAGTAGTTCTTTTCAGATGGAGATGACCGAAAGAAATGGCAGATAAAAATGGCACTATCATTTATGAAGTGGTACCAACTGTTGAGAGTTAATGTGATTAATTGATGTGTTCAGAGTGCGGATTTGGCGCGAAGTTTGAATTGGAAAAGGAGGGAAAAATAGATATGAAATGATAACATTATTTATTGTGATTTGAATATAAACATGCATGAAATAAAATATATAAAAATAAACATATATTTTGTGACTAAATAAACTAAAATCATTAAAAAAAAGTTTAAATTTGGCGCGAAGTTTAAATTGAAGAAGGAGGGAAAATAGATATGAAACGATTACACTTTTTATTATAATTTAAATATAAAAAATAAAAATACATGAAATATAATATATAAAAATAAACATATATTTTGTGACTCAATAAACTAAAATCATTAAAAAGAAGTTTAAATTTGGCGCGAAGTTTAAATTGAAGAAGGAGGGAAAAAATAGATATGAATTGATTGATTACATTTTTATTCTAGAAAATTGCAACGTTAATTATTTTAATAATATATAGTAACAGATATAAATTTTATGATTATGCCCTATAAAATAATTTATACTTTATATATTATAAATAAAATTAAAACTTAAACTAAAGTTGAATTTAGTCATTTTTTAATAAAAACATTATATAAACCAATTTTTTATTACACATTTCTGAGTTTAAACATATACAAGGTAGAATTTTGGCTTATAAAGTATAAAATATAATATATGGTATTAATTATTTGTTAATTATTATTCCTTGAGATTGAGAAGTTAAATTTGTTGAATTTACTATATGTATTTACTTTATTATAAATATTTTGTTTAAAAGATTTCAAAATATAACATCTTCTTTATAAATTTTAATTTCTCAGTTTTCTTTTATTTATAACTATACATATTAAAATTATATTATACTATATATTTATTTTTATGTTAAACTATATATTTATTTTTATGTTATACTATATATTTATTTTTATTTATAATTCAAAGTTGTAAAAGCACATTTTATATATTTATAAAACATTTATGCTTGTTATTATAAACAATAAATCAAATTATTATAAACAAATGTTCATGAGTTTATATAACATATTGTATGTTTATTAAATCAAGAAATAAATTAACTGTGAGTATAAATATACGTTTATAATATAAACAATTATATAAATGTAATAAAATAAATTTTATGGCGCTTACATAATTTATTGCAATTTTTTATATTATCAATAAATTGTTTTTATGGTTAATAAAATACACGTTTGATAACAAACGTCGATTAAAATTTTTTTGTTATATAAAACGTAATTCAAAATTAAATTTAAAAATAATAAACTGTTAAATGGAAAATTCCAAAAACTTGTTCAAAATTAACTATTTTTTTTGGTTTTTATTTAATACATAATATTAAATAAAAAGCGAATAAATTGGATGGATAAAAGACAATAATTTTATTATATGTTTGAAATACTTTGCAATCTATTCGTCGAATTAAAAAAAAAGGTTTAAAAAAAAAACCTCTACCTTAAAAGGTTTAAAAAATACATTAAATAATACATAAAATAATCGAATATCTGTATTTATTAGGTAATAATGTATTTTGGTTTTCCTCTATGATATAAAAAAAACTAGTGGAGTATGGCATCGTGCATTAAGGCAAATTGCTGGAACTTCCTGTACCGTAACGAAAATGTTCGAGTTTCTAATAAATATTAAATTTATAAAAATAAAACAAACAAATTCCAAATGGAAAACTTTTATTTTTATTAACTTAATAATTATTAAAGAAGTTGTGATATTAATTGATATCATTTTTGTTTTGTTTTTTTTTTTCAAATTATTTGTTAAAAAAAAGGGAGATATCTCATAGAAGATAATCTCTTACATGCATTAACACCAACATTATATTGTCTTAAAAAATGTACTTTATTTTGATTGACAATAAAACTATGCAACAAAAAAAAATATTTGTATGCACTGAAAATGGGTCAAATCAAGACCAAAAAGTTCGACAATAAAGACATTTTTCATCACTAAAATTGTTTTAATTATTGGATGGATGCCTAAGAACAACTCTATCATAATATTTTACTATCTGAAAAAACCTCTCACTTTATATCTTCTATATATATAAAAATAAGTCGAGTTTTCCTTCCTGACGAAATAACTCCAGAACGCACGAACCGATTTCGACAATTTTGCATTCGTTGGAAAGGTCTCGGGCTCCGCAAGGTTTATAGCTAAGAAAATTAGTTGTGCATGGCATCGTGCCTTAATGCAAGCTGCTGGAACTTCACGCACCGTAATTAAAAATTCGAGTAATGACATTAGTGAGAATTATCAGAATTATGCTTGGTTAAGTCAACGAGCAATTCTTGCCGCAAAGAATAATGATGTCAACGCCCTGAATTTCACCATTCAATCAAAAATTGCTGGCGATTTGGTGAGATACCAATGATTCTGACTGGTCTTCCGTTTGACTTCAAACGATTGCAATTTCCAGTTCGCCTTGCGTTCGCAATGACAAATAACAAGTCGCTAGGCTAATAGCTTAGTGTTTGCGGGATAAATTTCAAATAGATTATTTAGAAAATTATTGTTTTTCACATGGGCAGTTATACGTTGCCTGTTCACGAGTTGGAAAACCATTCGCTTTGTTTGTGTTAACGTCAGACCAAAAAACAAAAAATGTGGTTTACCAAAGATCACTTCCATGAAACGGATAATTTGCGGATTCACTTTCATTTACTTAGAGAAGTTCAACTAAAAAACGCTTCATTTTTGTAATCGAAATAAATTCATTACTGTTGTGCAATAAAATCAAATTTTTCCTTTTAAAATATAAAACAAACAAAAAAATTCTTCATCTTTTTCACGAAACCATCTGGTGGCGAAACGGAGTTTGTCGGGTTTGCTAATATATATATATATATATATATATATATATATATATATATATTTATACATAAATAGATATAAACATTTTTATTATAATTATCAGTTATCATTAAAGTGATAACAGATAAGACAAAGAATGCGCGAAGCCTCACATTCATTTATTTCTGTATCTGTTTTTTGTGTGTCTTGTTTAAACATTTACAACAAAGTTTTATATAATATTTAAAAAAAATTGTGCGTCCTCCTCCTCATATTCATATTGATTTTCAATACACATATGTTGGATTGAATAATTTTGCATAAAATTAAATAAATATAGAAAAAATACACGTAAACGTGACGCCATAAACGCCTCAGTCAGTGAAAAATAATGTTGTTGATGGTGTGTTGAAAAAAAAACGAAAGTGAAAAGTTTATATGTGTATATGTACTTGTGTTTGTGTAAATAACATTTTTAAATGGATAACATGAACTGAAAAACGTTTTGACCTAGAGAATCTTTGGTTTTCTATACTTTTTGATATATGATTGTGTGCCATCATCAGTGAATTTGGAACGCCTTCCAAAATAAACATTATAAAAGACAATAATAATGTTAATATATTACAAACACTGACCTTGACCTAAAAAAAACCTAATTATATTTATCAAATAATGACAATTGCAAAAATTAAGTAGTTCAAATTTTTGAAAATTTAATTTTTTTAAAAAATATTCTTTCGACAACGGTATACAAATATTAAAATTTAGTAAAATTTAACGTGGATTATCGATTATAGGACAGGTTCCTCT